CTGCCTTTGTTCTAGAATAAAAGCGTAAGCTTTCTGTTGATCGTGATCAGAATGTACTTCATAACCTGTTTCATGTCGTCCATCTTTTTGACATTTATTGGGCACGTGCCATTTGGGAAGGTTTTTTCCTTTGATAGGTCTGGTATTTTATTTATTACAGAAAGAAGCCTGGAATTTGTTTGTGATGAAACCATCAATTAAATCTGTGTTGATGACTTCTCCTGGTATTTGACTGCTGTTTGCACAGACGTCGCAATGTGAAATCGGGGGGGGGGGGGGGGGGGGGGAGAGAGAGAGAGAGAATGTTTGTGGTTCTTAAGAACAACTTTACTGTAGGATTGAATTGACATTGTGTCCTTTTTGTAAAATTTTCGCCGTCCGTGTCCGTACTCTGTGCTGAAGTTATTGCACATGGTCACTGAAGACTTCCCTTTTCTGTTTGATTCCTTAATAAATTTGCGATATTCTTAAGTCAAAAGTCCCTGTCACAGGGTCCTCAGACAGGAAAGCATTGACAAATGTGGTTGGATTTTCTATAAGTATCCAACGTTCAAGGAATCTGACAACACTTCTGTTTTTGCGACGGCAGCTGTCGGAAGTAATATGAGGTTCTCTTGACAGTTTCAGATATGTGGTTGGTGATGCCATCCAGTAACAAGGAACATATTTTCTTAGTCCTCTGGAAGCCCGTCTTTTATGAAAAACAGAGGAACGTGTCTTATTTTTGGGTTATTTATACCAAACGCACTTTCCCAGTGGCGGCGAAAGTAAAAAAATCTTATAAGTGTTTGTGTGATTAGGAAATTTTTGTTTCTACTTGACATTAGTGGTTCAAGACTCGGCGAAATTCAGTGACATGTGACCGTCTAAAAAAATTATAAAAGAATAACTTGAACGGGATATCTGTTGTGAGATTTGAGGTTTTTACGATGGTGAGGATGATGTCTCTTTTATGGGTTTTGGCATCGTATAGGCTCGTGTGTTACGAATCTTGGGTCTACACTCAAAGAATATCCTACAAAAACGCAATTTTGGAAATACACTGACATGTGCCGCTTTTCATTTTCATGCATTTATTTGTCCCGCATCTGAACTGTATTCGGCCGGAACCTCAACATTTTGAAAAGTGAGGTGCGCAATTTTTGGTGATCTGAGATATTGTCTAGCAATCCTGACCTTGCATGGGCGAAGGTAGAAATGAATCCACATTTCAGAGACCCACAGTTTGACATACGATCCAAATCATATAGGGAATCTTATATAGTTACATTCACAGTGTCTGAAGGAATTTGATAATTGTACTGTTTGGGGTCATAGAATAGCGGACCTATTTCGATCCCGACACAAAACAACGGAGAACATTACACTTGTAGGATTTGAGGTTTTCACAGCGGTGAGTCTGAAGATTGCTGTCTTCTAGGTTAAATGTACCAGGCTACACGGCGCAATAACCCAGAAGACAGCAATCTTCGTTTCAGTTGTTGTACCTTGATCAACCAATGGACGGATTGGCGCGTCTTTGACTGTCTCATGAACTAGGTTTTACGTCAGACTTTTATCAATAAACCTTATCACAGGGGCTCAAAGATCCTGATTCTCGCCATAGAATCGAACCCGCATTTTCCCAATACGAACAAAAATGTTAACCACTTAGTTTCTGCCAGCGAGTTCAACCACGAAATGAGGCCTCGTCAGTGTTGAAGGAAGTGTTCGAGTGGCCTCTGCCCCCATCATGCTCTGGAGAAGTGACAGATAGTGCCGCGGGTCAGCGGCTCACCTCTGTTTGCCATTCGAGATCTTGAAATTATCGCAGTATCAAGTTTCCATTTTAAGTGCGTTCGCAACATCCCTGCGAAGCGTCTTGTGAGTTCGCTTTGTTTTTCCGCCCGCATGTCGAAACTCGTGATCGGTTAAAATCATTTTCGTGAAATTTGATATCAACATGATGCCATTAGGGATCCTAATACTAGTGAGGTGGAAGGGTAATGCTCCGTTATGACGTAATCACCCACGATACTCCGTGCGCTTGACGTCATCGGCCATGTGTATAACAACTGAAGAACAGCTGAACGGATTTTCTTGAAATTTGGTGTGAACCACATGCCATCTGAAGCCACTCCAAGCTTTTGCCTTCAAATTTCCTGCGGTTCTTAGTACCAGCGAGATGAATGTTCGAACAAATGAGGTGGCGGATGACGAGGGGAGATGCTCTCTGAAAACGGCATGACGGGTGACTGCAGCGAACCATAGAGGCACGACATTCCTTCCTCACCCTAGCTGATCGTCGCAGCAATTATGAGAAGGTCGAAGTTCGTTTTGTTTGTTTTTTACTTATTTTTTATTATCTTCCTGCCCTTGTCTGTACCCTTTTTTGCTTCCTTTCGTTTTTTCTGCCCATGTATGATTCTTTTTTCAGGTACTGTAGTTTAAAACTTACCGATCTGAAGACGTAGTTTTATATAACATGTTCCACATAAAACACAACTCTGACTGCAACAGTGTTTGTAAACTCCTGTGACATTAGTTTCACAAGACAAATGAGTTTTGTTTTGTTTTGTTAATTTGGAAGACCTGACCGAACAGGGTTAGAGCAGATGTCCACCACCTTCAGTAAGACACTTTCGGTGTCCCGAAATTTGGTAACAATCGGTCTTATTCGGCCGCACAAAGAAGTGATGATAATCAGGGAGACTTATCGCATTGGAAGAATTTGACTCGAAGATCGTAACCCACATCCCACATCAATTCCTATTCTGTATTAGTGAATTAGACCAAATCCTTAGCACATTGTAGTATAGAGGCCGAGCGAGAAGTGCTGGCACTTTCGCAAAGGACTGATTTTGGTCGTATGAGATGAACCCGTCCGAAGCACTCGCTAGAGGGGTGTCAGCTTCGGTTGGTTTGTAGCTCTAGCTGTGTTTAGATCGGTGCGTCACCGCAGATGAGGCTGTGCGACCCCCCGCCCCCCACTACTGAACTCCCCTCTCTCGGCTTTCACATCGCGCATTTAGGTGCCACGACTACTCGCGCGACCTCTACCGTGTATCACATTACACCTACGCCTCCGAATCATGCTATGTCGTGCTGTTTTGCTGTTTTACGCAATGGCGCAGACTCCTGGTAATTGACACTAACTGTTTGTTTTTGATTGCAAGTGGTAATTATACACAGAGCAACACTTGTGACTAATTCGCTTCGGAGGTGACCTCGGTTACTAAATTATTGTCCATTGTCGAAAATATTCAAGTTGTAAAACGTGTTCTTTTTTCATCTGAATTTTCAACACATGACGTGGTTACTTAACTCTGTAAACCTTGTGGTTCCTAACACGGGTGCCACAGGTATATAGTGATGATTTTTACATTAATATGTCAGTCGTTTTATTTTTTTTTATTCTAAGTGACAGACTTTCTCTGCTCAACGTGTTGAACGTCAAGAAGGCGCCGGGCGTACCTACTGGGAGCTTGCAATACCGATGTCATTGCACAACTAAGGGGATGATTTGGGAAGTTCAACTCCAGAGGAAGAATACTTGTGTTAGTGAAGTTCCATACTTTGTCAGATCACAGTTCTGGAGGCTTAGTGACTAGAATTGCAACCTTTTACAGCCCCACGATCCAAGAAAAACAAGGGTTGTTCACAGCGTCAGTTTATTTAATCAGAATTTGACGAAGTAAATTGAACGTTTTGGAGGCTTAAGGATAAATCAGGGAAACGGGGATACAATTTCTCCCGCCACAGCCCCAGCTTTATTCCGCCGTTCAGAAACCTGAACGGGATAGAATTGTGAATATGGTTTATTCTGAAACCCCGCATGCGAATGGACTGGATTTCGTGGAGACATGAGACAGGAACTTAAGGCAATTTTAGTTGCTGATGGGATTTATTTGTAAAGAAAATATTTTACGAATCGATTTGATACAGGCTGTAATTGTGGGCAAATTACATGGCGCGCGAGGGAAGTCTCGGCCACACGTTTCTGAAAACTAACCTCAGGTTTCAGTTTTGAAGGCAATTAATGTCGTACAGTCTAGTCCACAGTCACACGTGTTTCATTTACTGATAGAATCGATATCAGTTTTATAAAATTGTGACGTCAAGTTGTTTGCTGATACCGGTACTTCCAGAAAGTTTAAAATATTTCGTATCCGATTGGGATGACGAAGAGAATTTATGGTTGGTATATCACTAGGAAATCGGCCAGTTGGAAGACCAAGAAAGGCATGGGCGAATAATATTAAGATGGATTTTAGCGTTGTACATCGTGCGTGTCGTGCTCTACGTATTGTAAACTTCGACAAAAATGGAATCGAGTTTCACACCACGGCCACTTTTTTCGCTTGGAAACAACGCATTGAATAAGTGGCTAGTTGATGTCTAGGGCGCAGAGAAAACATAATCATGCTGGGAATCGAACCCCGATTATCCAGTCTTATCAAGTCACTTTATTGATATTGTTTATTGGCATTGAGGTGCGCCTTCGTGTTTTTGATGGCTACTGCTGTTTCGTTGTAGACACTATAAGCTTTGCTACCAGTTTATCACTTAGGCAAGTGTTATAAAAGTACCTGCCAACTACAGGTTTTTTTACGCTAATTTATTATGCGAAACGGTATGTACCATAAAGAACACACAACAAGGAGGTTAGTCTAAAAACAGGCGTAAAATAAACTTTTGTGAGTACGATACTCAACATGGGGTGTCAGTTGAGTAACTATAAACTTTTCGTAGAACATCTTGCATCTTGAGTTAATTTGTTATGTATGATATAGGACTTTCTTCTTCATTTAGCGTGTCCTTGTTTGCATCTTCCAGTTTTTAGTATTTAAACATTCAGTTGTTACGTTATATGCACACCTCCATTACAAAAATTAACGAGTTAGTGTTGTTTAAGGACGTAATCGCAGTTTGCTCAGATAATCATATGAAACACACAAATACACTGTGGGGGAAGATAAAATTATTCATTGCTGAAGCCGGTAAGCCACTAAGCCCGAGAATATTAAAAATTATATTTTATTAACCTTCAGATACATTGAATTTTTAGTGGATGATACAATTTCAATAATTATACAAGTTACAGACGTAGAGCCGCTTATAATTGTCTTTAATGACAGATTTCGCATCGTCACCATGTTTATTTGTAGCATGCAAAAAACTGATGAATATCTGCAGTATGGTTGTTTAGCCGATTAATACAAGATATTGCATGTATTTTGCTACGGTAGTCGTCCAGTGTAAGTTAATACACTGGTATTTTTTTGATAGGCCTGAAGAACACTGATTGCCGGTCTCTTTCAGAATGGAACTGGGTATTTCACTGATGTAAGACATGCAGACCCAGAGATTGCAACCGAACCAGAAAGATGACCAAGAAGAACTAGAACGATACACAGAGAAACATTGGTAGAGGAAATACAGAATATTGCAAATGTTCCTTTCAATGTGCCCCACTTTTCTGTTCATGAATGCAATGTAACTGAACGTGTTTATTGTGATAATCGATTGCTGCAAATAGTATGCGATAATCAGTCTTCGCTCTGAAGTTATTATGAGTTGTGAAGGAACTTTTGGAATATGATTGTAATTCATGTGCCTTAGTTGATAATTTTTCGCAAAGGATATCTAAATGGGGTAATGTGCAAGCCGCGCGCCGTGGAGTTTCTTGTTATGCAGTCCCGCACAACAGCCGTTACACAATTTCGTCTCAGGACGGTTACTTTTAATCGAGATTAATCGCTTTGCGAGTTGTACTGGATGTGCTGTTTGTTTGGCTGTCGCTTCTCTTAGCAGAACTTTCTCCTTGAGAACTTAACCAAGGACGAGTTCATACAAGTTTTCATACTGGAATCTAACAAGATGGCCGAGCAGTTAACGCTTATGTTATCTCAAGCACGAAAGTGAAGTACATTTTTGTGTTGTCGTTGAGAGGTGAGTTTCGATTCCAGAAAGTGGGTTTTAAAATGTATTTTGTCTTTCTGTCTGCTAACTCCTTGTCATTGAAGAGTTTAGTGAATGTTTTTCACACTCGGTAAGTGTGTGTACACAAGTGCTGTCTGGAACTATCAGGTTCTACGTCGTTCCTATACCCAGTCAATATTTATGGAAGGCGAATTGGCATTAGGTTAAAGCTACATGCATCAAAGAACTTCTTACTTAATGGAGACGAGTGGCGAACTTTATGCTTCGGCCACTTTAAGACCGCTACTTAAATTGAACGAATGGAATCGGATCTTCTGGTTGGTGTCGCACAGTAGCACGAACGTTTCCGATCGAAATCGAACAGTGTAAGGTTAAAATTAAAAATAAAAACGACACATATGCTGCTGTTTACTTTTATGGAACATATGTTTCTTCTCAGACAAACGAAATTAATGTCGATTTTGGTCCTCTGGGTACACTACTAATTTCTCTGCACTGTATGCCTCCATGAAGTATTCTGGAATTTGTTGGTCGTGATTTAATGAAGTGTCAATGCGCAGTCCTCCAGCTTACTACGTTTGCCGCGGGAGCTTGTCTGTGGATAGTACAGTTTGTGTCCAGCAGATGTCAGGAGAAACCTTTTTGACGTAAATACGTCTATAAGGAAGGGTCATTCGGCAAAAAAGTGGAACGAAAAAGTGTAACAATGGTTACCTAGGAAACGTCATCTGTTTACTTAGCATTGTTGTTACCTAGGAAACGTTACCTTACCTTACCTTACATTACGTTTCATTACATTACATTCAGCTACCACAGACCCATCTTAAGCGTAACTAATTCAAGTTAAATAAGCTGTCTTAATCAAACTTATCTCAATAGTAAAGCGGGTATGAAGGAAATATTTAGAATAAAGCCAATATATAAACTTCCTTTCCGTATAGACATATTTACGTCAAATTCTCCGGAACCGTGGTTCCACTGTCAACTTTTTGTTTGAGCTACAAATCCATTATATTTCCATATTATTGATATGACCCCATCACTACAGATTACTTTGCAGCGAGACTATTCTATTTTGGCTCCATTAAAGTATGCGTCACATTGGAAATATCTGTTATACGATCTTCAGTAACTCAGCAACTCTGCATTTTGCCCACAGAGTGCATTTATGGGTTTAGTATTGTCAGAGTAAACAGCGATTGTTTAATTAAATATGATTGACCAAATTGGTCGTTGTGATGGACAGGTGTTTCCTTTCATGTACGAACAGAATTATCAAATACTGTTCATAAGCTTCATCGCATCAAATGGGCAGCAAAGAGCATCGAGTTTGCAAAGAGTAACGAATCAGATTGGAAACAGCAACAGCTTATCCAAGTGCAAGGCACGGTATTTCGACTGTTCCCTACTTTCTGTACGATAGTGGATTCTACATTACTTGACATGCCCTTCATACTTCGAGACTGTCATTGGTCAAAGGTTCCATGCCAGTTTTCTTGCACCCGTGTCACCGAACACGCACTGAACCACGTCTTTTTATACGTGCATGGACCAATCAAGCGCACTGCTGCAATATGGACTTGTGAAGCCTTTGCCATTTGGTAGGTTATCCGGTATGACGCCTTAGATTTAGTTTCGTTCACATCGCTTGGTTTTGTTACAAAACTAGCAATGCCACTTGTGAACTATTCTTTGAAAAGAATCAGCAGGCTTGTCGACTTTGGGCATTGTAGTTAAAAGTGTCTGTGAAGTGAAGAAGGCTTCATTCAGTTTATTGCAAAGCAGTAACAGTGTGTTGTGTAAACAATTATGCGTAGTATGTTTTTTGAAAGAGTATAGCACAGCAGTTGATTCCCAGCGCACTTATCGTCGCAGCGGAAGTCTTCGCCGCGCCGTTGCTAAAACATTATCTAAAGTTTCGGTTATGCATTTCTTCTTGTCAATTTCCTACAAGTCGAGTTATTTGTCCACATCTGTACGAACGATGTTACCACAAATGACGCACTGCGGCTTTGGACTCCCCAATGCATGTGAAATGATGCTGTATTTATTCTTCGGCTTGTTATCTTCTTGAAAGCGACTTTTCTGGATCACTATTCGATTTGGATTTTCCGCACTTTACAGCTGACGATTGACCTTTTTTGACGTAAATACGTCTATACGGAAGGGTAATTCGGCAAAAAAGCGTAACGAAGATGTGTAAGATCTATATCAACAATGTGTAAATATGGACCGACAACAATGGCCAGCTTTTATATGAACTCCTGCGTGCATTGGTAGGTTACCTAAGAAACTAATTGTTACGTCGTCTGTTTACTCGGCATTATTGTGTTACATTACTGCCGTCAACAATCC